TGCCCCCCCCAGGATCGGGGGGCTGGGGCTCCCCTGGGAGCGGCTGTGGCGCAGGGCCTGGGTGGGTGCTGACCAGGAGTAGGATGAAGTCCTGTGCAGGGTGCCTGGCAGCAGCCCACCGTGCCGCCCCCCAAGGCCACCCTGGGAGCTGCATCCCCTCTGCATGCTGGGCCGCGTCTGTGGCTCTCTGCCCTCTCAGGGCTGTCCTGGGCGGCCGTTTGGCCTTGGGCTCCCCCACACAACCAGCCGCTGGTCTCGCGCTGGGAAGGGGCAGTGTAGTTGGCCCTGGCACGACCCCTCTAGTGACCCCCTAATCCAGGCCCCTTGGAAGGGGACTCTGGGGTCAGTGTGTCATGTGCCCGGCTCCAATGAGGGGTTGGGTCACTGGGACGTGAGGGCGGGGTATTAGCCGCCAGAGAGGGGGCACTGTGCACACGGGTGATTCCAGGAGCGGGGCTCTCTTGGGCCTTGATAGTCATGGTTGTTGGGGTCCCCTAAGCACGGGGGTCTCTCAGGCTGTGATAATCGTGGTTGTTGGGGTCCCCAGGAGTGGGGGTCTCTCGGGCTGTGATAGTCATGGTTGTTGGGATCCCCTGAGCACAGAGGTCTCTCGGGCTGTGATAGTTGTAGTATTGGGGCCCCTTCGGTGGTGAGCTCAGGACTGTGTTCGGTGTGTCCAGCCCACTGTGACCATTGCTCACTCTACCCGCAGCCGTCTCCGGAGTGGACAGGGCCGCCCTGGGGGCCCCGATGTGCGGGTGGAGCGAGGGGTTCTGAGAGGCCCTGGCTGCCCCAGGGACCCCGCCGTGGAGGTGTCAGCATGTGACCTGACTGTCCTCCGCACCCAGAAGTGGGCGGTTGGTGCCAGGGGAGCATGGACAGGCGGCCTGGGTCCTCTGCAGCCTGGCCATGTGGGTGGCTGCACCAAGGGGAACCGGTTTTTCTCGCCAGGGTGCCCCGTGGCACCTGGGTACAGGCCCAGCTGGGAAGGAGCTGGTTGGTGGCCCTGGTTTCTGCCCACTGGCTGTGACAGGCGTGGGGTGGCAGGACGCCTGTTGTTAGCAAGTCTCAGACACTTGGAGGACCCTGTGGAAGGCCAGAGCAGGAGGCCCCGCGCCCAGTAAGTGCCCTGCGCCCCCTCTGCCCGTCCCTGCTGCTGACCAAGGAGGCCTAGGTCTTGGGCAGGGGAGGGGTGGGCTGCATTTTCTCTCGGAGTCCTGGGGCCAGAATCGGCCGCTGGGGGACTCGGGTGGGGGATCTGGGGACAGTGGAGCCCTCCCCCCCCCCCCCGTATCCTTCCCTGCAGCCTGGTTCCTGCTTTTCCCGACTTCCTGGCGGCCCGGACTGGGGCACAGGTCACCCTAACCAAGAGGGTGGTCATGGGTGCCCAGTGTCCCCAGAGCTCGGACCTCAGAGGGAGGCACCCAGGAGAGCAACCTCATGTGCGCCCTCCCCTCCCCAACTCCCTCCCCTCCCCCTCATCCCCTCTCCCCTGCCTCTGCTCTGGGGTACCTGCTTTTGCTGAATCTCAGCTTGCTCCGGCCCTGATGGGACCCCCAGAGCCTGGAACACTTGTCACCTGCGCCAGGGCTGTGACCCCAGCATGTTTCCTCATCCCCGCAGGGCCTGCTGGGGGTGGAGGTGCCATGGTCAGTGCTGGGGGACATCTGTCCGGGGACAGGCATGTTTCAAATGTCCGGGCTGTGGGCGTGACAGGTCGTACGGCTGCGCATGTGTGTGGTGACCCTGCGTGCCAGTCACAGACCGAGACAGTGGTGCCCCTGGGGCCTCAGAGAACCTTCTGGAGGTCACCTGGAGGGCTCCACCTGTGGCTCACCAACAGGTGCTGGGCCCTAGCGGGGAGGCGCCTAGTGCCCCCTAGGGATGGGGGTGGGGGGTGCTACCAGGCCCGAGTCTGGGGGCCCGAGCGGAAGCCTGGGGTGTCCTGCGTTTCTGAGGGTCCGTCCCGCCTCAGGGCCACAAAGGCTGTGGAGTGAGTGTGCGGTTGCAGGGCGTGGGGGCGCCCCCGAGAGCAGAGCTGTGTATGGGAGGGGCTGGGAGTGTCTCTGGTGTTCCTTCCCTGGTCGAAGCACGCGCCGGGCAGGTCAGGACTGGCCCGCAGGTGCCCTGCTGAGCTCAGGCAGGCAGGAGGTCAGGCCGAGGTGTCAGCTCGGGCTGGGCGCCAAAGGAAAGACCCTCCACACATACATGTTGGGTGGCCTGACCAGGGGCAATGTGGTGGCCTAGGCAACCCTCCAGGGGACAAGTGTCACCGTCCACAGCTCCGACTGCTGTTTGCAGGTGCTGGCACGGGACTGCGTGGGACTAGGGGTGTGCACAGCCCACGGGCGGGGCGGACACTGTGACTCTCACCTGTCCCAAGGGGAGGGGCCCAAGGCAGCCCAGGGTGGAGCCGGTCCTGTGCTGATGGGCGTTTCCTGAGCCTTTCCTGGGCATTTCCTGAGCCTTTCCCGAACATTTCCCAAGATTTCCTGAGCATTTCCAAGCCTTTCCTGAGCTTTTCCTGGGCATTTCCTGAGTGTTTCCTGAGCCTTTCCCAAGTGTTTCTTGACCTTTTCCCAAACATTTCCTGAGCTTTTCCTGAGCCTTTCCCAAGTGTTTCCTGAGCATTTCCTAAGCGTTTCCCAAGCGTTTCCTGAGTGTTTTCTGAGTAGGCGCCACATCAGAACCCGATCTGGGTTTCAGCTCCCCACTAATGCTGTTGGCACCCAAGTAAGAACCGGCCCCAAATGTGAGCAGCGCAAGTGGATGGCAGACAAGAGTTCTGCGTTTGACGGGCGGTGGACGCTGTGAGCAGAGAAGCTCCGTCACACTGGCCCGCCAGGGGCTTCCTCTCCCGCAGCCAGCCCCTTCCTGCCAGGCAGTGAGACGGACCTCTGGCTCTGCGCCTGCGTCCTTCAAGGCGTCCTCTGCAGCCGCATGTCCCTGTCCGCTGGGCGCTGCTCGAGTCCAGAGCCTGGCTTGACGCTGATTCCACAATGGGGGCCCAGTGCCAGGGGTGCTGGTGTGGGTTTGGGGGTTCCTGCCAGCGTAGGGTCACCCCACTCCGGCAGCCTGGAGACCTAACAGGGTGTGCCTGCCCTTTAGTGCACACAAGGCCGATTCCCCATCCCCCCACGGCTGCTGTGAGTGCTGGGGGCAGCTGCAGCCCCGCGGGCACAGGCGTGTCCTTCCCGGCCCACAGTGGCCACAGCTTCCCGCTGTTGCTGCCTCTCCTGCATCCCGCAGGTTCTGCGGAACAGACTTGGAGCCCCTGGCCGCTGGCTGGGGGTGTAGGGGAGTCACAGAACCGGCGGCAGCCTCTTGTGGGTTTCCTGAGAAGGTGACAGGGTCACCCAGACACAGCTGGAGTTCCTACATGGTTCCCCAGCGCCCCCTAGGACTCCCTGATGTGGGCACTGCCCCCTGCCCCCCATGCCTGGGGCTGAGGGTCTTTCTCCAGGCAGCCCAGAGCTCACCTTCCCCTGGTATTGCTTGGGCTTATCTTGTTTAATAAAGCCTTAAATAGAACATTTAAGGCTTTTTAGCTCTGCTGCTTGTTGTTGATGATATTTGGTTGAGCTAAAATGGAAACTACTTCCTTTTTTAAAAAGCAATTAAATCACTGCTTGATACATAGTTACAAAGCTGTTCAGACCGGTTCCCAGCACCCCTCCCTTCACCAGTACACGTGTCCCAGCACAGATGCCCCAGTTTCCTCCCACCACAGCCCCCTCCCCCAAGTCTGCCTCTACAGACTTCTCTCTCTTTCCTTTTGGGCATTATGGTTTGCAATACAGGTGCTGAAAGGTTATCGTGTATATCCTTTACGGTTTCCTTTAACAGTGTTTTTGGATTTGTTTTTAGTTTGGGGGCCATATGCGGTGATGGTCAGGGATTACTCCTGGCTCTGTTCTCAGAGAATCACTCCTGGTGGGCTTGGGACACCATAGAGGGAGTTGGGGATTGGGCTGGGCCAGGTACATGCAAGGCACCTCCCCACTGTACTCTGGCCCCAGTGGAAACTGTTTATTAGCAAGTGTTGTTTCCTCAAACAACAGGCAGACTTACTGAGTGATGGTGAGTTACCTCCTGCACAGACTCTGGCTCCACCAGTGGAAAAACAGTGGCTGGGCCTCCTCTGAGCAGCAGGAGAGGGAAGGCTCCGGGCGGGCCGAGGAAGCACTGGCTGCGCATTCTCGGGGCTGTCCACGGTGGCCAGCATTGGCTCAGTGGAGCGTGCGTACCGACATGTGAGACTCTGGGCTCCATCCCCAGCGACACCCGGAGAAATTGGAGCTGAAACTCTGACACGCAGCGGTGGCTGTGTCAGATGCCACCCTCAGTGTCGGCCTCGTGCCAGGGCGGCTCGTGACGGACTCGCAGGGGGCCGAGTGGGATATGACAGTGACATCCTCTGGGAAGTGGGTCTGACCTGCGTGTGTGTGTGTGTGTGTGTGTGTGTGTGTGTGTGTGAGAGAGAGAGAGAGAGAGACAGACAGACAGACAGACAGACAGACAGAGACAGAGACAGAGAGACAGACACACAGACAGGCAGGCAGGCAGGCTGACAGAGACAGGAAGACAGAGTGCATATGTTGGTGTGTGTAAAGGGGGCTGGGAGGTGAGCAAGCTTGACAGGGGTGCACTCACATATGTGGATGCATGTACCTGTGCTCACACAGTCCTGCATGTGTGCACAGGTGTAGACACTGCCTCTGTGCACGCTTGTGCGTGTGCAGTGCCTGTGTGCACTTGTCCCGGCTTCCTTGTCCGTGCGTGCGTGCGTGCGTGTGTGTGTGTGTGTGTGTGTGTATGTGTGTAACCGTGTTTCGAGCCTCAAGGCACCACCTTCCCATCAGGATGCTCGACCCCGCCCCACCCAGTCCGGAGCACGTTCCCTGCAGCTGCCGCTGCCGCTGCCGCTGCCTGTGTGGGGCTGGGAGACCCGGGACTGGCCACGTCATGCCCTGCCACTCACCCCCTTCTCTGCTCTGCAGGCAGCAGCTCGTGTCCACAGCTCACTATCGAAGCCCCGTGCCTGAGAGGCGGCGTCTCTGCTCTTGTTGAACGGAATGCAGCGAGGCAGCAGGCTCAGAGGCTAAATGGAAACCCACCAGCCAGACTCCCCGCGGCGAGCCCGAAGCCACAAGGTACAGGGACGTGGGCGGGATACCTGCACATTCCCAGGAAGACCCGCAGAAGTGAGAAGTGCGTGTGCTCACCCACGAGGGACAGAGGGGTCCTGTTGGGGCTAGGGGCCTGCCTCCATCAGCAGAGCCTCAAATCCCTGCTCTGCCGCCACACAGTGGGCCGTGAGGTTGTTCTCTCCAAACTCTGGGCCTCCAGCCCAGTCCCAGCTCGGGCATTCTTGGCACCCCAGACTCAGGGAAAGTCCATTTCTGTCCCCTCTGTCTTGCGTTTCCTTGTGGCTCCACCTTGTTCCTGCCAAGAAAGTGTTGGAGGGAAGCTTGGGGCTCCACCTCATTCCTGCATGGTCAGGGTTTTGGAAGAAAAAGAAGGCAGTGTGCGATGGAATCTTCCAGATAGAAGGGATGCTTCCTTCCCTTCCCACTGAAGGCGTGGTGGTGTATGGGCCAGCCACGTCACTGAGATTCGCACAAACTACCACGAGCTTCTGCTGTTCGCCCCGATGTGTGTCCTGCCTCTGACATGGGCAGGAATGTGAGCAGAGAAGCCCGCGAGGGTGATTTAAGCATTTTTATTTATAAACACAAGATTCCGTCTTTGCTTATTACAACTGAACTGGCAAAGGCCCTCAGGAAGTGTGTTTGTTTGTTAAAAACACACACACAATTTGATGCCGTTACCCAGATCCAAAAGGTTGGGGCCTCATTATTTTAAAGCCTGTTTCAAAGAAGAGAATTAGCCTGATGTCACTGTGCCCAAGGTTGAATGGGACGAGCTGTGACAGCGGCACCTACCCAGGCCGCCTGCATGGGTGAGCTGAAGCTCTCGGGAGGGAGCGCAGCAAGTACAGCACCATGCACGGGGGCCACAGAGATCCCTGCAAGCTCCGTGCATGTGAAGCTCGGTAGATCCTCATGTGCCCTTTGTGTGAGACTTAGTAGATCCCCATGTGCCCTGTGTATGAGTCTCAGTAGATCCCCATGTGCCCTTGTGTGTATGTCTCAGGAGATCCTGTGTGTATCTCAGGAGATCCCCGTGTGCCCCATGTGAGGCTCAGTAGATCCCTCTGTGCTACCTGTGAGTCTTAGTAGATCCCTGTGTGCTCCTCGTGAGTCTCAATAGATCCCTGTGTGAGTCTCAGTAGATCCCCGTGTGAGTCTTAGTAGATCCCTGTGTGAGTCTCAGTAGATCCCCGTGTGCCCTGTGTGTATGTCTCAGGAGATCCTGTGTGTATCTCAGGAGATCTCCGTGTGCCCCATGTGAGGCTCAGTAGATCCCTCTGTGCTCCCTGTGAGTCTTAGTAGATCCCTGTGTGCTCCTCGTGGGTCTCAATAGATCCCTGTGTGAGTCTCAGTAGGTCCCCGTGTGAGTCTTAGTAGATCCCTGTGTGAGTCTCAGTAGATCCCCGTGTGCCCTGTGTGTATGTCTCAGGAGATCCTGTGTGTATCTCAGGAGATCCCCGTGTGCCCCGTGTTGCGGGTCACACAGCCCCACTGGACCCACACTGCCCTCGTGTCTGCAGCAACCCCCAGTTCTTGCCCACAGCCCGGGGAGTGCCGTGCAGCCAGGCTTGCTGGGAAACTGCTGAGAGCTCGCTTCCCGGGCTAGGTCTGTGGCAGGTGGGAGGAGCAGAGTCTGGGTTCCGGCACAGGTCCACCCAGGGGCCTGGTGGTGCCTGGGCCCCTCCCTTGGCACCATGCAGGGATCCGAGGGCCTGTGAGACATCTGGCGTGCTTGGCCACGCTGTGTCCTTGCCGTGCTGTGGGGAGGGTGCTGACTCTCACTGTTCTGCTGGAGTGGCGGGCAGTGTCTCCCCATTTTGTCTTGTGTGGCGGGATGGCCCTAGGCGGAGAGGCGGGGTCCTGGGTCTCTGATCTCCTCCGCCCGTAACCAGGCCCTGTGACGAGCCGTGTGCGTCCTACAGGCATGTTCCCACCAGACCGGAGCAAAGGTCCCTGGCCATGCCCTGGGTCAGGCTCCTCCCAAGGTGCCAGTGCAGGGCCGGGGAGCCCGTGTGGCACCACCCTGAGCCCGCATCCTTCTTCTTGGGCAGTGCCTCCAAAGCCTTTGCACCTGCAGAGTCCCCACCGAGCCCTGCGCACAGCTCCGCCCAGAGCCACGCCCGGCATGGAGCATCTGCGGCCCGGCCCCACCACCCGCGTGCCGCAGGACAAGCCCAGCAAGGTGTCGGATCTCATCAGCCACTTCGAGGGCGGCAGGTACGAGGGCCGGTAGGGGGCATGGAGGCTCGGAGACCTGGCGGGCAGAGACGCACTGGCCAGCTGGTGCTGTTAGGGGCACGATCGGCCACCACTGCTCCCCGTGCTCGCCCTCCAGGCCCTGTGTTGGCAGCCACGTGGTGTCCGTGGGCATTGGAGTGGCGACTGTCTGAGTGGCAGCAGGCGTCCGTTGATGTCTGTGGTCTCTTGGTCTCTTCCATCCACACTCGGGTGCTGGTGTCTCCACGAGCTCACTTGCTCAACTCCCGTTTCCGGGCGTCCTCAGGGAGAGTGGCTGCACAACCTGGTCTGTGTCCATGTTCCTGAGTCTATGTCTACTCTTCCTGGGCCTGTCTTTGTACTTAATCTTTGTCACTCCTCCTGGGTCTATGTCCACTCTCCCTGGTCTTTCCACTCTCCCTGGTCTGTGTCCACTGTCTGTGGGTCTGTGTCCACTCTCCCTGGTCTGTGTCCATTCTCCCTGTTCTGTGTCCATTCTCCCTGGTCTGTCCATTCTCCCTGGTCTGTGTCCACTCTCCCTGGTCTGTTCATTCTCCCTGGTCTGTGTCTACTCTCCCTGGTCTGTCCACTCTCTCTGGTCTGTGTCCACTGTCTGAGGGACTGTGTCCACTCTTCCTGGTCTGTCCATTCTCCCTGGTCTGTGTCCACTCTCCCTGGTCTGTGCACTCTCCCTGGTCTGTCTCTCTCCCTGGTCTGTGTCCACTCCCCCTGGTCTGTCCACTCCCCCTGATTCTATGCCTGCACTCCCTTGCGTCCTCGAGTCCCTCTCTCTTGGCTGATCCTGCACTGCCCCAAGTGAACTGTCCAGACTGGACTTTGCTTCTCCCGCCATGTGGTGCCTCCTCTCGTGCTGTTCCGACCCCGGTCGGTACTGCGCCCGCCACCTGGTGCCAGGTGCTCCGGAGGGCAGAGCCACAGTGGGAGAGGCTGACTGGGGCTGGCACTCAGCGAAGATGTGTGTCCCCAAACCGGAGGAGCGAGTTCCAGGGGCAACCCCCAGTTCCACCCCCCGACGTGATTCCTGGGACATCGGCATCTCCTGAGGGCTAACCCAGGGAACGTTCGCACTGTCCCCTCCACCGCGATGGTGCTCCTGGCCCCGCCGTGGGCTCCGTGTTCTTCTCTGAGCTTGCTGGGTTCAGCAGTGTCACTGGTGTGCCGTGTGCTTGTGTGGCAGGACTGTGCCGTGGTCTCGACAGAAGAGGAGACAGGATCCCCCTGTCCCCCACCCCCCTGCTGCTTTTCTGCTCAGCGACCCTCAGTTGTTTTGTCTTGAAATTTCTGTCACTCATTACATACCGTTCCCCCCTCCCCCCGCTAAAGGTCTTGCTATCATCTGTTCCCAGGGGGCTGTGTGACCAGATCTCAGGCCCAGCACTGGGAGGACCCTCTTGCCCCTGCCAGATCCCGGGAACCCCACCCAAGGCCAAGTGTCTCCAGGAAGGGCATGGGGAAACTCGAGGGGCTGCTGCCCCCAACACACATGCCACTGGCCACTTGGGAGGGCACAGCCAGAGCTGCCCCTGGCCAGGCTATGGAGAACCAGTGTTGGCCCAGCAGGTGCTCCCACAGGGGTTCCGGTAGCCAAGTCCATCTCAAGATGGTCCTCCTCACTGCCAGTGTCGTCCCATTTGGGGTTTCTTGCCAGCTCGCCCACAACCACAGGACATGTGCAGGCCCTCACAGGGAGGCTCGGGGTCCCGGGCAGGTCTGCGTGGCCCCGACCAGGCCTCCAGCACAGGGCAGGGGCCCTGCTGGGCTGTCCATGCATCCCCGTGCCCCGCATCCTCCACCCCCCACCGGACCCCATGGCCCCCCAGTGTCCCCTCATGGCCCCCTGCACCTTCCGGGCCCCAGAGCGCCCCTTACGCCCCCACGCCTCCACACGCCTCCTGTGTTGTCTCTTTCAGCTCATTGTCGAGTTACAGTGACGTGAGGAAGGACTCGGCGGTGACGCTCAGCTCCCCCAGGACTCCGGGTCGGCGGGGGGTTGTAGCACCCCCCCACAGGCCCCCCGTCCAGTTCCCGCCTCCTAAGCAGGGATGTGATGTGGAGCCCGTGGGGGCAGCACAGACTTGCTTGGCCAATGGGGTGATGGCGGCGCCTGGCCCCGTGCAGTGGGAGGCGCAGAGGACTGTCCTGCCAAGCCCCGCGGGGCCGGGCCAGGGGGCTGAAGCCTTGGCCCGGAGGAACTTGATGAACGGAGAGAGGGGAGAGATGGCAGCCAGTCCCGTGTCCCCCAAGACCCAGGAGGACACCGGTGCTGCCCGTGGAGACCCATGGCTGCCCCCAGAGAAGGAGGCCTGTGCGGAGCCCCAGACAGGGGGACCCCAAGGGGACACCGGGGAGAGCCCAGTGCAGCCAAACAAGCAGGACCAGCAGAACCAGCAGAACCAGCCCGACCAGCTAGACCAGCAGAACCAGCCTGACCCGTTAGACCAGCAGGACCAACAGCAGCAGCAGCAGCAGCAGCAGCAGCAGCAGCAGCAGCAGCAGCATCTAGAACCCCAGGACCAGCAGAACCAGCAGGACCAGCAGAACCAGCCCGACCAGCTGGACCAGCAGAACCAGCAGGACCAGCAGAACCAGCAGGACCAGCAGGAGCAGCCCCACCAGTGTGAGCAGCCCCCGGAGCTGAAGGTATACAGGAGGCCCCTCAGAGAGTTCAGAGAGGGTCCGAGGCATCGCTGGAGGGGTCCTGCTGTGTGGGTCTCCTCCCCAGCACCCCAGGCAGCGGGGAGCCTGTGTGCTCCAGAGCACATGCTGTGGTCCAGGGCATCTCAGGGCTGGGCGGCAGCTGGTGCAGAAGCCCCTGCCTGCAGCCTGTGCGGGGAGACCCCAGCACCAGCAGATCCAGTTGGAGGAACTGCCCAGAAAGTGTGAGCAAGGCCCCGGTCCAGGGCCAGGCCCGGGCAGGAAGTCATATGTAGGAAACGCCACTGAGGGTGCCAGCCCCCGCACTGGGCAGGTCCTGGGAGGAAGTTTGTGGCTGGACCCGCTCAGCACATTTCTGCTGCTTGCAGGATCTAAGCCCCTAGAGCCAGGGCCGAGCGAGCCAGGCCCGGGAGGAATCCCAGAAGCTCTTGGCTCTCCACATCAGGCCCGGGAATGCGAGTGGCTGGGTTCTCAGGGCATGCGGAGTCACTGTTGTAAAGGCAGAATACGTGCCCGCCATGTTTCCCTGGAGCAGAAAACCACCCCGTCTCTGAAGACGGGAACTCTCCATGGTTGAATCTCCCTCGTCATTTAAATAGAAATCTATGTGGGAGACCTGAGAATTGGGAATTGTGACAGTTTGGGGGACATGGGTAAATGCCATCCAATTCCTAAATCTGTTTAATATTTTCTTACAATGCCACAGTTGACATTAATCTGAATGGAAAATCAAAAGGACATAATAGAGCAGAAAAGGATAGATGGTTGAATGGCGGATGGTAGATGGGTGGGTGTGTGGGTGGATGGATGGGTGGGTGGATGAATGGGTTGGTGGATGGGTGGGTGGGTGGGTAGGTGAACGGATGGGCGGGTGGATGGATGGATGAGTGAATGAGTGAGTGGAGGAAGGATGGATGGATGGATGAGTGAGTGAGTGAGTCAGTGAGTGGAGGAAGGATGGATGGGCGTGGGTGGATGAGTGGGTGGGTGGATGTTTGAATGGTGGATGGATGAATGGGTGGGTGGGTGGACGGGTGGGTGGATGAGTGGGAGGTGCTTGGGGGATGAATGGAGGAGTGGTGGATGGATGGTGGGTAGATGGATGAATGGGTGAATGGATGGGTGGATAGATAGGTGGGTGGGTGGGAGAGTGAGTGGTGATGGATGGACGGATGCATTTGGAGCTGGAAGTGAAATCGCCCGACCCTGCAGTTCTCGCTGTGCCTGACAAACTTCCCTCTGGCTGGCTCAGGCCCGTGTCCTGTAGTCAGTGAATCTGCCTTTAAGGCTGAGCCCTCACAGGCAGGGAAAGTGCCGAGGAGGAAGTGGGTGGTGAGAGTGAATCATGCTTGGCAACCGCTGTGAAACAGCAACAGGACACTGCCCAGCGCCCGTCCTCCGGCACCACGAGGTGGGTGCCGGGGGCTCCGCCAGGGTTGGCCAGCAAAAGAGAAAGTCAGAAGCGGGAACCGGGACTGGCTGCGCCCGTGACCGTTGGGATGTGGCCTTCCTCAGACACTGGTCAGCCAGTAAGAGCCTCCCCGCCCCCAACCCCCGGGAAGTGGAGGGCTACTGGGAGGGCCAGTGTGTGGAGCCGCCCCAGGTCGCCAGGCTGTGGGATGGCCGTGGCACAGGGCCGGCCTGGGCTCGCCGGGTCCTTGTGTGTCCCTGGCTCACGCTGAGTGGCACATTGGAGAGGGCCGGGCCTGCCACATCCTTCCTTTGCCCTGCCGGGGTCGCAGGGAGAGGACGGGGGCCCGGAGGAGGCAGGCCGTCCCCTCCACAGCGCTGAGCTGGCGAACCTGGCGGTGCAGCAGGTGGAGACGTGAGCTCTGCACCTTAGAAGCAGGAGGAAGCCCTGAACTAGAGAAGCCAGGGGCTGGAGAGAGCACTGGCCGGGGCTGCAGGGACCCAGCACCTGGCACCTGGCATGGCCCCGATGGTCCCCTGAGTACTGCCTGGGAAGCCGCACACAGAAACGAACAAACGGAAGAAAGAGACAAAGGGGAGGTCCACGATTACGGCATCTCGAGCCGGGGGCAGCGAAATGGGAGTTGCTCTGCGTGAGCCGTGAACCAGCATGACCTTGGGCCATGGCGAGACTGGATGTGATGGCGCTTGGTTGCAGTGGCCGGCGTGGTGATGGTCAGTTGGTCGCAGTGGCCGGCGTGGTGACGGTCAGTTGGTCACAATGGCTGGCGTGGTGATGGTCATGTGGCAGCAGTGGTCAGCGTGGTGATGGTAAGTTGGCCCCAGTGACCAGTGATGATGGTCAGTTGACCCCAGTGGCTGACGTGGCAATGTCAGTTGGTCGCAGTGACTGTTGTGTTGACGGTCAGTTGGTGAAATGGAAATCAGCTCTTTCAGAAGGTGGGGACAGGCCCAGGTCTGCACAGGAGAGAGGGGACAGGGAGAGGCATGCAGAGGAGAGTGGGGGAGGGTGTGCAGAGGAGAGAGAGGAAAGACAGGGAGGGGTGTGCAGAGCAGGGGGTTGAAGGCTGTGCACAGGAAGGGCTGGGGGCCCACACGGGACCCTGCACGGCCACAGCATCTGTCTGGTGACTCGGGTTACCACAGGGGCTTTGCCTGGCCGAGACTGGACTAATGTCCAGCACCTGCGACCCCATCAGAGCCGAGGCCCCAAGAGAGCCATAGCCTGTCTCAGTGTGCAGCTTTGTGGAGCAGCTTCTGTGGCACTGGCAGCTGTGGTGGGCGCTCACTGGCAATGCCGTGCCCAGGCTTCCCAGTCTGGCCATTCCCTCTGACCTTCCTCTGCACATCGAGTGCCGCCACACAGACGGGCAGCTTTCCAGAACTCGGTTTACCCATGACCCGTCTCTACCATCAGTGGTGCCAGCTCCGATAATGATCAGAACCTCAGTAATGGCGATTTCCTCAATAAAACAGATTTAGTTTCACCAAAAGTAGAGGAATTAAATCCTGAAGTGAAGGCATCCACAAAATCATTGTTTCTGGAATTTCATATTTCATCCCTCTGTGATTCCCAGGCACCTCTTGCTTCCAGGCATGGAGGCTCGTGGCTGTGGCAGGTGCCACGCACCTGTGCTCAGGGTGTCGATCTGGGTGGAGACAGGGCTCCGTCTGTCCTCCCTTGCCCCACGCAGGGCACAGGGCCTGCCCAGGGTCCACTTGTACTCAGTCGCGCAGCGTGATCTGGGAGGGGTACTGTGGCGCTGACCCCGACTGCCCGAACCTTTTCCCCGAAGCCTTGGATCTTCCGCTGTTCACTTCCGGAAAACAAGGCCAGGGGCTGAGATCTTGATGAACTTGAGCCTGTGAGCCCCAAACCCAGAGCACCCACCAAAGAGGAACCTGCGGCAGTCCCAGGAGGAAGGGCCTGTGGAGGCGGCAGTGGCTGTGGCCTGCAGCGGGGCCTGAGGGGGCGTGGCCACCGGGACTGAGCAGCTCCGGAGGGGAACCGAGAGGTGGTGGTGGGGGGGGTTGGCCCTGGGGCACTCTGGGGCAGGGGGGCGGGCAGGAGGCAGCTGTGTGCTACAGTGAGGTCAGGGTGTGAGCTGGGGGTTGGCCGGCAGGGGGGTCCTGTCCGCAGCAAGGGAGGGGTTATATGGGGGCAGCGGAGGTGGTTCTGCAGAGGACTGAGGCCCAGGACACGCAGGAATGAATTCTGATCTTCAAGGACCGCCACCACGTGCGGGAGCCGTGTCCTCCTTAACAAGGGAGCCATCGCCTGTGGCTGGGGAAACGCTCTGACTTAGGGGCTGGGGGGTCCCGCATGCGGCCGACCTCCCCGCCCATCCCCTGCACCATATCTGGTCCCCTGAGCGCCACCGAAGAGACTTTAAAAAGCCAGCAACCCTCGATCCTGTCTGTGAGGTGTTCAGAGGGCCCCTAGCAGTGTCACCGCCCAGTGTAGGCCCCGCGTCCGTCGTGGGTGCAGCAAGAGTCCAGCAGGGAGGGGACGATGCCGCCTGAGGTGACGCGTCCTGATAGCTTTGTGATGGTGGTTTAAATTGTTCCGGGAGCACGTGGCCTTCCTGGCACCTGGGAGAGGACATTCCAGCTGCCACCGTGGCCCCTGAGAGGGCAGAGCCCCAGCGGGAGACGGCCCAGGCAGACAGCTTCTGGGAGAAGTGAGAGCGGCCGAGTGTTGAACTTGCTTGTCCCACGAGACCTGGTGACTGTGGCCCACGCGGCTCCTCGGAGCACCATGGTAAGAGCCTCTAGCTCATGTCTCGGGGAGTCCTGCCCCAGCATGGAGCCGTGCGTCCGCCCGAGAGGCCAGCGTGCAGGTCGGTGGCTGAGGGCCTGTCTCGGGAGCTCGCTCAGCTCCTCCCGGGGCCCTTAGCGCCTGTGTCAGCCCATGTCAGGTGGCGCCCGGGACAGGGCGCTTTGGGTCCCTGCCTCACGCTTGTCCCCTCCCTCCCATCGCATCCACGACCAGTCCTGGCTCCACCCCTCTGGGCGGTGGACAGCCAGTGGGCAGGGGGCAGGGGAGAAGAATGACCCCCTGCTGTGTTCCCCGGGTGCTGCTGGTGTGGGGGTGGCCAGTCCTGGTCATGATCACATGTGGCGGATCGGCTTTATGGCCACTTCGGCTCTGCACGCAGCACCTGTCAGGTGACAGTGTTGACAGCTCATTGGGGCTGTCTGAGCTGTGGGCATGCGGCTGGCGACTGGCACCTCACCTGTGTGAGGCCTGGGGCCCGCCCCCAGCACCCTGAGGAGAGAGAAGGGGGCCAGCAGGGAGCTTCCTGAGTCCTGCTCGTTCGTCCCACTGACGTTCCCGGGACTGAGTGGCCTGGCGCCCGTGTTGGGCAGGAAGCGCTTAGTATGTGGGGTGGACGAGTAAGAAACGGTTCCCTGTGAACATCCTGCTGCCGGCTGCTGCTGCACTGCCCCAGGGACTTGACACTCCGCAGACTTGGCAAGTCACCTGGCCTCTGTGAGCTTCAGGTAGTGGGTGAGCGTGATTGTGTAAGTGTGAATGTGGTATGTGATGGTGA